GGAGTAAGTACTTTATACACAGTAGACATGCAATCCTCACAGATACAAACCCTACTGCATCAAACCCTATAAGATACACATACATGTTATAGGAAAGAAAGTCTTACAAAGATTAGGTACCATGCCACAATTATGTCACTACTACGGTTAAGTTTGCATCATTTTCCAGTGAAATGAGTGAAAGGAAATTATTCTGGAACATTGCATGAAACTAATACATTATATATGACTTAAATCATACTAATATTTTCTGGTTATATATCCTAGGCTAGCTACTGGTCCAGTTCTTCAAAAAGACACAAATGCCTATGATATAATACCTAATTGTGAACATGCTATCAAAGTGCATTCTATCCCATTATAAAGATAGTACAGGAAGAACACATTCAGTCACTGTAACCTCTCTATCCTCAGATCTCCCACAGCACCCTGTGCCCAGTTCCATTCAAACATCTCAAATAACACAGTCATCTATTGGGGGTGGGGCTTACTCTCCTTTTCTATCTTAAAAGGATAATTACAATATAAAACATAATAGATTTTATTATATATATATATATATCTGAAACATATTTCTCTTCATGCCACAGTGGGGAACCTTCCATGACACTTCTTTCACCTTTGCTAATGATGTTCAGGTTGTTGTAAAGTTGATAATAAAGGAGGAGATGCCCTCTGATGCAAGCTAATGCAAAAATCTATCTTGCGAGAGTTAGGACCAAAACACAAAAACATAGTATTCCCAAAATGTAATTCAGATTATCCAACCATCCCAGGCATTGGCTGGGCAACAGCAAATGTCCTTCTCTCTTTATGCACGCAGCTTACAGCTTACACACATACACACACGGGGGGCACCAAAACCAGTAATTTCATAGTGACTCCATTAAATTTTTATTTCACACAAATGAAAAGACATTATAAAATGGTCTGTAAGAGAAGCACATTGTAAGATAAGCTGAAGTACACTTACATTTTTAAAGCCAGACTCCTCTATCAATAAGGAAACAACCTACCAAACATTTCCCCAGGGCACAGTTTCTCACCTTGGAGTCCTCCTGGCTCACTCCCAGTTGCAGCACGGCCTGAGGAGACTGCAGTTTTGCTTGGGTCGAGTGAGCCATTTGCAGGTTGAGCTGCCATCCCACCGTCTCCAGCTACAAAAGACAAGGGAGGAGTGGGTTCAGATGGCACAGAAGAACACAGTCAACTTTAAGCACGTTTCTACTTTGTAGGAATCAACACAAATAGCCTAGACTTAATGGGAAGTCAATTTCAGGCTCCTTTAACCTGAGATCTCGGTAAACTCTCCTCTAGACACAGTAGATCAGCCTTGTCATGCCTGTCAAATCCAACAGTAAAGGGGTCTCTAAACAGACTATTCTAAAAGTTAAGAATGCTAAGCAATCATATATATAAAGAGTCAACAGTGGGTTGGTGGGGAGGCAGGGGTGGACACAGGATATTTCCCAAACCCATTATGTAGCACATATGAATACGTATAGGCATTATGTAGCCCTTCAACTCCTGATCCTCCTGCCCTACCTTTCAAGTACTGTAATTACCAACATATGCCACCATATCCAGATGGTTTTTTAAAACCTTATTGTCATTTTAAGATAGCATTTTTAAAACATGCATTTAAAAACATACAAATTTCAACTAGTAAACAGCATATTTTGGTGAAAATCCTTTACTGACTTTTCACTATTTTTAAACACTCTGTGTCGATGGAGCACAAACAAGGCTTTCTTTCCCTTGTCCCGCCTGCCTTCCTTTCCCCCTTTCTATTTAGAAGGAAACTAAAGCACCCAGACATGAGGTTCACACCATGAGGCACAGTCAGTAAACAGATCCAGGCAAGAAACTGCTGCTGTACCAGTTAGCCTGTGGTACCAGAGAGGTCCTTATACTTTCCAAAGTTATTAGCTTACTATGGCTCCCAATTATGGTAGAAACTAATCGCTTCCTTTGAATTTAATAACAGAGTACGAGTTTATCAGGAAAGACAGAACTAGGGGAGGAAAACTATGGCAGTTTCAGTTCCCTTTGAAACATCACACAGCAGAAACAGCTTTATGAGGCTAGATGCAACAGTGTGGCCACGTGGTTTTAGATTCAGTTCCCTAAAAATCTCAGGTTCCAAGCTTTGCGAAGTGCAGTGGTTTCAGGCCTCTGACAACACAGCCTTCGAGAGGATTCAGCCAAGCCACCTTTGCTCCACAGGGCCTGAAAATCAGCCTCACAGTGCTTATGGGACCTGAATACTAATCACTTGACTTGAAAGACCACTGAACAGACAGAGCAGTGACGCAAAGCCAAGCTGGAAAGGGAGCAAGGAAAGTACCACCAACGTGGGAGAGAGCGAAAAGAGAACACAGAGACACACTTCTGCTTCTCCCGGGTCCTTCAGAGGTACAGAGAGGGAACTCAGTTTAAAGGTGTGTATCCATGATCCTTAACATGATCGCTATATTAACTGGATGAGTCTCTAGCGCGGTGTCTAACTAATAAGAGCCCTTCTCTGTTTCCACCAGTCTCCAGAACAGACCTCCAAAAAACATCAACACACTGTGTCCTCAGGAAAAGCACTTCCAGATACTCACCTGGACCTGTACGCATTTTTGACCTGACCCCATCCATGCCAGAACTTAATGCATAGCTGGGTGCTGCCTACCATTGGTGTAAAACAACCAGACAGAGCACTGAGCTAGTATATCCTGCTTTGCTTCACATGTAAGCCATTGCTCCCTCATCCCTGGCTAAGACAGGGTCTTAAGATCTCGATTTCTTCATACAAAACAGAAATCCATCTACCTGAACCATCTGCTTATCCACCTCCTTAATGGGTAGCAAAACAGAAAATGTGCATTATAGTGTCTGTGACATTTTAAAGCATTATAAATACAAGCCATTTTAGTCACCTAGCTTTTCTGTGTCTCTCATGTAATCTTCAGTGCAGACAGCTATGACCCATCTCTTTACAAACCGCCACAGATTGTCACCAACTGGATTCCTACCTTTATTCTATCTCAAGATCCCATTTTACTTCTTCAAAGACTCATTAACTATGCTACAAAATTTTTTTAAAAAATTAAGTTCTAAGTCTGGTACTCAAATTTTATCAAGAAACACACTTTGGCCCTAGAACCAGAGCCAGTGAAAGAGATATGTCCTGTCCCCTGAAACCAGAGCCAATTCTGCCCATGAGCAGGAAAACTAACCAATCCCTGAGCAAAAAAAAAAAAATCTCCTTGGGAAACAATGACCCTAAGAAGCCCCATATAAGTCCCCCTGCCAGTTCACTTGCTGGCTGTCCTTTCCCACTCTGGCAGGGGCAGCCACTCTCCTGGACTCCTCCTTCCCAAATAAATCTCTTTCTTAAACGAGTTTTGGGTGAATACCTTCTTTCGCTAGTGCAGAAGGGACTGACTGAAGTGAGAGTCATCAATGTTACACAGAAACGGAGAATGAGTTAGGGATGTGATTCAGTCGGAAGAGTACTTGCCTTAGCAGCACAAGGCCCTGGGTTCCCCAGCAAGTCCTTAACCCAGTGTGGGAGCACATTCCTGGCATCTCAGTACCCAGGGGTAAAAGCAGGAGGCCCAAAGGTTCAAGACATCTTCAAATACTCAATGAGAGTTTGACACTAGCCTGGGCTAAAGATCCTGTCTCAAAACAAAAAGTGTATCTGAGTAGGGCACAGCTATCAACGAAAATGTCAAAGTAGCCACTCCCATTGCTTCCATGTTACAGAGGGGAAAAATTCATGGGGAAAGCTTTCTCCATCCAACCCAAGAGGTCAAAATCAACATGACCCCAAACTAGGAAATGGTCGTCAAGAACCTAAAGTTTATGTACTGTGATGGCTACAAGATCTCTTTTATAATAGACTAATAATAAATTCACAGCCATAACTAGACCACATAAAATTAAAGACTATCCTACAAAATAAATGGTATGTATGTATCAAAAACACAAATGTCTAAAAAGAAAGACTAAAAGACAGAACTCCTTATATTGCTTGGAAGATGTTATTTGCAAGGTCTAAAACAAGCATTGGCGATACAAATATGAGCAAGAGCTGTTTCTCTCTGACTAGGTAAGAGTCTTATGGTACACTAATTAGTCCTCTGAGACCCATAACGAGAAGCAAATATAGCTGTCATCAATATTTTAATTACATGGAACATAACAAAATTTAGTGCAGAATTCTGCCTTATATTAGCAAAGTTTTATTACCACTGCTCAAAACAAAGCTCTGTCCTGTGTACACTCTACAGTTGTTCATTAAAAGACTCAGGAATTTTGCTGTAGTACTTATATTCTAGTTTAAAACACAGGGTCTGCATTAGCTTGCTTCCTGTGCTGTGGTGAAGACACTAAGACCACAAACAACTCGGAGAGGAAAGGGTTTATTTCAGCTGCATTACAGTTCAGGTCCATCATCTAGTGACGTCAGGGCAAGAAGTCGAGGTAGGACACTGGAGGCAGAAACTGAAGCAGAGGCCATGGAGGAGTGCTCCTTACTGGTTTGCTCCTCATGACTCGTTCAGTCTGCTTTCTCATACAACCTAGGAGCACCAGTCCAGCAGTAACTACCATATAAATCATTAACCAAGAAAATGGCTCAAAGATTCGCCTACAGGTCAATCTGATGGGGGCAGTTTCTCAACTGAGGTTCCCTCTTCCCATTTGACTCTAGTTTGTATCGAGTCGACAAAAACCTGTCCCACACAGGCAGGGTCTTTGTATATTCATGTCATGGGTTTAAAGGCCAGCAAAATAATGTTAAACACTTGGAGAATGAACCAACAATATTTTAAATGTGTTTGAAACTCATCCCTCCTACATACATTGCTCCTTACTTGGAAATGTTACTAATTAGTTGATAAATGACTTTCTTCTCTCTCCTATGTCGATGAAGGAAGTTCAATGAAATATTAACTTATAATTACTCTACAAAACACAATTCTGAACATGGTTCGAATTAACAAACTGGCTATAATATTAACCCTATAAAGCCAAAAACTAATAACCATGTCTAGAGAGATGGTTCAGTCAGTAAAGTACCTGCCATGTAAGCATGACAGGTAGATCCCCGACACCCATGTAAAACACAGGGCATGAGCAGATACAGGCAGAGCCCTGGAGCTCACTGGCCAGCCAGGCCAGCCAACCAGTGAGCTATGGGCTCAGTGAAATACTTTATCCCAAAACAGAAGGTACGGAGCAATAAGGGAAGACACCTGATCACCAAGTATCAGATTCTGGCCTCTACAATCCTCTCTCTTTCTTTCTTTCTCTCTCTCTCTCTCCCTTCCTCTCTCCCTCCCTCCCTCCCCACTCCTCTCCGTCTTTCTTCTTTCTCTCCCTCTTCTTTCACTGGTAAACAAATAAGTTACCAGATACATTTTATAACAGCATTAATTTTTTTGGATGGGAGAAAAGCACACCACACAGTGAGCATGCAAAATAAGGCTGCACAGTCATATTAACATCAGACAATGCACACTTCAAGGTCATCTACTAAAAAGACAACCCACAGTGATAGGAAGCGGCCACACAAGAGAGCACAACCTTCACGCTGGCAAAGAGGCTGTCTGGGCCTCCTGATCCTTTCCTCAGTGAGGGAAAGATGAAGATAAAAGGCAGGAATTACAATTTTCCTGGGCCCTGATTTTAAAGAAATACCCATTATTTTTTCAATACTAGTAATAGAACAAAAGAGAAATTGCTTGAAAAAGTAAAAGGTACATAGTTTGGACATTCCTGATTCAGAAATCCAAACATCAAAAATGGTTCAAAATTTTTCAATCATAATGTGCCACACAAGTGCTTGGAATTTGGGACCTTTCAAATTACACACTTCACACTGTGCATGCTCCATTGGTAAAGTGTAGCAAATAGCCCAAAATATGAAGGTCATAAAGTCTGGAACATTTGTAGTCACAAGCATTTTAGCTGAGTGACACCTGACCTGTACTGACAAGTGTGGAGATTTTTCAGAGGACACTGGGCAAAGACAGTGCCACAAAGGCTTAAGACAGCACAGCGAATTTCTTTAGGCACATCTGGGCCAAGTCACATGACATCGTCAGAGGAAGCGGCAAAGAGCACATACACGTCCTTGGGGTGCAGGGAAAAAGCCTTCAGG